ATATATATATATATATATATATATATATATATATATATATATATATATATATATATATATATATATATATATATATATATATATATATATATATATACTGTAAATTCAAAAGAGTAGTTTTGACCTCTTCAAAGGAGTAGTTTTTTTGACCCCAGGACTACCCTTTCAAAAGGGTCGTTCAAAGGGTAGTTTTAACTCCTCAAAGGGTAGGAACGTTACCCTTCCAAAGGGTCGTTTCAGCTATTCGAAAGGGTCGTTTCAGCTATCCAAAAGGGTCGTTTCAGTATTCAAAAGGGTCGTTTTAGCTATTCGAAAGGTCGTTTTAGCTATTCGAAAGGGTCGTTTCAGCTATTCGAAAGGGTCGTTTCAGCTATTCAAAAGGGTGGTTTCAGCTATTCAAAAGGGTCGTTTCAGATATTCGAAAGGGTCGTTTCAGCTATTCGAAAGGGTCGTTTCAGCTATTCAAAAGGGTCGTTTCAGCTATTCAAAAGGGTCGTTTCAGCTATTCAAAATGGTGGTTTCAGCTATTCAAAAGGGTCGTTTCAGCTATTCAAAAGGGTGGTTTCAGTTATTCAAAAGGGTCGTTTCAGCTATTCAAAAGGTATAAAAAAACATAACGATATTTAGGTACGTTATGATATGTAAATGATTTCTAACATTCACAAATCAATAAATCGTCGTTCAATATCGTTTCGTGTAACATAGCCTTCAGTGCAGAAAATAAGATGGGACGTAATTAAACATACAAATATCTTTCCTTTTAAAAAATGGATTTAATACGTCACTAAATGCTAATTATATACAAGCATAGGCGTAAAGAGAATGCATTAAAGTCTTCGTAAAGAGAATGCATTAAAGTCTTAATCCTTCACTGACCCAACAGAGTAAAAATTTGAGTAACACTAAGAGGGATTTGGTTATTAGAGTTCATTGCAAACTTAAGGTTGATTTCTCTCTTTCTCTAAACATATCATTGCACTTCTCTGGACTTTATTTAAATCCAAATTGTACGTGTATTGGACGAAAAGTAACAGATTTAGACAGTCTAGTGTCACACAGCATTATTCCTTTCCAACAACATACATATAACCAAAGTATCAAACACAGAGGTACCACACAAAAGGATTGCAGGTGAGACTGCCGCTTTAATATGGCGGTTCACATCTGTTCAATCTGACACCATTCTTACTAGCTGTCAAGAACAGTTAATTACACTACTCAACTTTTGGCTTGAAACCTTGAATAATGACAATTAATTACCGCAATGGCAGAGAGGTTTAAAATGAATTCTCTTTTTATGTTGAATCAAACTTGAATACGCAAATGACACTTGTTCTAGGCCTGGGGTCAGACGTGGTAAATTAAATTTAATCAAACTACTATACACTAATAATTAAACCACACCCCTAAATATAGTTACTCAAAAATGGACATATCTGGCCAGATACTGAGTTTTTACTTCATTTTTATGGTACCTGGCCGTCCAATGCTGGATATTATTTATATAAGGTTCAGGCCTTCTTTACAAGTTAGAAAATTATTTGATTAGGTTAAAAAAGTTGGGGTGTTTATCATATTTTTATTCAATGATTGATCACAGGAATGCTTACACTATTTTCAAATTTTTGTAAATGCAGGTTTGCCCTTTGAACTAATGCAAGTGAGGCTTCTACTACCAGTGATACATGTTTACCAGTGTTAGACTGTGAAATTCATTCCTATTATTTCAAATCAATGTATTATTAACACCATCACTTTTTTGCCAATTAAAATTATTACTTAACCTTAAATGAGGTCTGGACCTTATATATTTGAATAAGGGGCCGATTACCCATGTAATCACAGCTGAGCAAGATGACTTTTAACTTACAATTACATGTAGTATGCCTGTCCGGTTAACTGGGCTGAAGTAAGCTCATTATATTGAAAAGTTTTAATACTTGAATAATCGTTGCTGGATATTATAACTAATATATATATATATATATACTAATGTTTAAAATTTATGACAAATTATCTAAAATAAAAATAAAAAGAGTTACAAATTTTAAAAGCACTGTTAGAAAAGTCTATTGATATTTCTTGCGTTGCATTCCTAGCGTTCCTAATGGAAACTAAGAAACTGGTACGGGGTTATTCAAACTTGTTCATTTACAATTTTAGGTTGGATGGCTGACCAAGATCATCCCCCTAAACCAAAGACACCCACAGAGGATGATGACAAATCAGAAGCACGCACATCTGTGGATGATGGCAGGGCATTTGGATCGGATATCCCAAGAGAAAATATCCAAACCAATGCAGATCAGCAAAAGAAAGAATATCGTAATGTCGGAGGTAGTGGTCAGGCTGAGTCTGAATCTGAGCAAACAAAACCTACATATAATCACATCAGCCACGAATGCGGAAACGGTGAATCAGAGTTAGAGAAGAAGAAAGGCAACAATGCTGAGAATAGCAAAGTGGCAAGCAGTCGAGAATCACAGGAAATAAATTATATAAATTCTGGGACAGTACAAGGTGAAGTCGGCCACATGGGGAGTGAACAAGAAGAGTAAAAAAAAAGGAAACAAAACCTCGTTGAGTCTGGACATGGCGGCCATACATATTGTCTTTTCTCGTGTATTGTCTTGTCTCCTTGTCCGAGACGGGTCAAATTGGCTCCTTCGAAGAGTAATGTTACTGGCTCACGTGGAGTCGCAAGATTCCCGCGAAGAGTTATTTTGCCCTTCCATGGAGTCAAAACTACCCTTGGAGTTGAAACGACCCTTTCGAGGAGTAGAAACTACCCTCTTTCCAAAGGGACGGAAATGACCCCTAGGGGTCAAAACTACTCTTCTGAATTTACAGTGAGATATATATATATATATATATCTCATATATATATCTGCTTTGTATATACTGCTTTGTATACGATACTCTCAACTTGGCATTTGTTATCCAGGGGACATTCATCCTGATTTCTACAGTTACATGGTGTTTCAGGTTTTGTAGCTTCGCTTCTTCCTAAGGTCTTCCGATTGTGCCGTGAAATAACATTCTTAACATTTGGCATACAACTGTAACTAACTTTGATCGTGTTTCTGTTGACTATTTGGGGAAGTGGATTTGTGGGAGGAAAATGTTTGTCAATAAGTTGCAGAAATCTTCCTCCAACGTTTGTCTTAACTGATTTACTGTATGGGGGATTGAACCATATAACGTTTCTATGTCTCTTTCGTTTCGGTGTTGCAGATGCGTTTAGATCTGGGGGGTTATAGTGTAAGGTTTCCTTAAAGTTGCTTTTCTTCAAGGCTTCTTCGTATAAAGGTTTTGACTGGTCATACGCCTTTTGGTCGGATGAAAGGGATGATATACGCGTGTTTATTGATTTCGGTATATGCTTTATTATCGAGGGAGGGTGGTTGGAACGACTGTCTACATATTGCGTGGTGTTGAGGGGTTTTCTGTATGGCACGAATCGATTGGAATTCAAGTCTAAAGTAACATCTAAGAAATTTCCAAGATGATGACTTACTTCACATGTTATCTTTAGTCCAAACTGATGGAATGTTTCGTTTAACGATTTCCTTGCCATATCAGCGTTCCGAGTTGAATTTCCTTTCACCAAAGCCAAGCCATCATCACGATACAAACCCACACGATTCTTGCCAAAAATCGCCGAGATCTTATTCAGTATATATAGACCAACCAATTCGCATATCTTCGCTCCATCGTAACTACCCATTGCTACATCAAACAACGATTCACTACTTGATTTAGTCCATAGTTTATCGTCACTAAACAAAAGCGATTTACGTGCGTGCTTGATTATATTGATTTCATCCTCGCTAATATCGATCATCGTACGTGCCCATTGAAATGTAGCATCCAGAAGATCTTCCTTGATAGATGGATAAAAGTCAACGATATCAAAGGAAAGAAATGAATATATATATATATATATATATATATATATATTTATATATATATATATATATATATATATATATATATATATATATATATATATATATATATATATATATATATATATATATATATATATATATATATATAAACAAGTCGTTCTCAGCTTGACCTTGTAGCTCAGACGGTATAGAGCATCGTTCTAGAAATGCGAAGGTCGCGGGTTCGAATCCCAGCCGCGGTCAAGTAGAATTTTCTGCCTATATATATATATATATATATATATATATATATATATATATATATATATATATATATATATATATATATATATATATATATATATATATATATATATATATATATATATATATATATATATATATATATATATATATATATGAGTATATAT